ATAGGGATGCCGAGGAACAGACTCACTAAAAGTGCTCTCTTCGTATACCCTCATGCGACAGACCGAACGGCTGATGGCTCGAGTATATGGAATAACTCTCTATCTGACAATATCGTCAGAAATTTTATCTATGGAGCTTTCAGCGTTGATGTAATACTGCGGCGAGCATCCTATATCTGCTGCCCCTGAACCTGAAACGAATAATGACTTGCGAAAATGTAATTATCTGTTGCCCTCTTGCATCATTTTGTTTCAGAAGGTCAAAAGGACTTTTGATTCTTGGATTTCCTGATAAGCTGCATATTTTCAGGACGTTTTTTTCAGAAATCGAATGTTTTTTCTTCAGATGAAGGAATGATTCATAAGACATTCTAGCAAAGAAGAAGATTGTTTCAGCAGGTTTGTCAGGAGGCTTTAATTTGTCTTTTACACTGACTGTGAGGTATGCACGAAACTCGACTAAAATATATAAGAAATGTCACGTATTTGAAGTACTTATGCATTGATGCGTAAGTTGATGAAATTTAAAACTTATGGTTCTGCAGCTTATTGAAATTGATGTAGCGAAGGGGACACGAATACATCTTTCTTTGTTCAGCTCCATGTAGGAGTAAATATCCAAAGATTTCGAATATGTGAGGATGTTGCTTTGAAGTTTCATATTTCAGAAAGTAGTGCATGGGATGCTGTGAGTTCGAGGTACACAGCTACAGAGACTTAGTGAAGCGCTATGAGTTTCTTTCACGGAATGTTGCTGAAATGACGATCAACTAGTTGCTTGTCCATGCATTGCAGGTGCTAAATACCGTGGAACGTTGGTGTGTTTAATGGGCTCTCATGGATGATAGATGAGCAAGGAAACACCCAGAAAATACAAAGAAGGTACATGTTTATTTTGTGCTGACAAACAATATCAAAAGCTAGCTTCTATACGATTGGTGTTAAACGTAGTTTTATAAAAAAAACTTCGATTAATGCGAGATATTGCTTTTCATTGAGAAAATTTGTACGAAAGGCGAAGTGGGAAACGACTGCTACAAACAGTCTTTTGAAGCGTGTCCAGGAACTGGTAGATGGTGAAGCCTCAAAGTAAAAAATAACGCTGTTTTGATTTTACCGTGTTGAATCACCATCTGCTCATGCCAGCTAAGTGAGTTCGAAATATAGATATTACGGTTTTACTGTAACATGATTTTATTTGCATTTCGCATGAGCGCAGTTATTCCATTGAGGAAGCACCTAAGAGACATTGGCATGACGACAACGTTCATAGGCGCTAACAGCATAAGGATGGTCCTTCCATGGAAACTTTTGCCGTCGTCTTCCATAAAATGGGGCGATTTTATCGCAGGAACTGCAATTGTTTACCGCCTAAATTTCTCCTTTGCAGACAGCTGTTTTAAAAGAATCCAAACTGAGAACAAGGTTACGCGAATAAATGGCCTGCGTTAATGCAGACCTGAGAAAATGAGATTTCAACTGTAGCAGAACTGCAATTTAAAAATTACTACGTCATTCAGTGAAACTCGATTACAACAGTTCAGGAAGAAGCCAGAAGATTCTAGACTCCATGGTAGCGGATAAAACTCGCGGTAAGATGAACAACAAAAATGTGACCTATACTATCAACCTGTCCTCGCTACCGCTACTGTGCCACAATAGTCTGTGCTACATTTTTGCATCGCCCGCCCTAGTGACAGATTTGATTGTAAATCAAATATTAAATAGGTTAATAGTAAACTAAACCGTGGTTTTTCACACCACCGCCATTCATATCTGTTTTCTTTACAAACTATACCAATACTTCTGTGCCGATGAATCAGTCTAATCACTCAAACGGCTGGAGAATGAAGCTGTTTGCGAAAAGCGTGGCAAGTGTCCTTTCCAAATCATGGTTTACTCTTTAGAGCAAGATCATTGCAAATATTGCTGGAGATCAGAAATTGATCGCGTTTTATTAGCAATCATTTAAATGAAATGGAAAACACTCTTGTAAATTCAGTAAAGTATTAATGAAAATTAATTTGATTCCATTGTCTAGTTCCCATAGGAACCTCCTGTCGAAGACACGCCGCATTTATGAAAAGTGCCTCATCTGATATTGGTAATAATTCAAATGTTTCGTTTTTTAATTGACTCGATTTCAAATATAATTAGATAGCAATACTTCAACAAGCATTAAACCTTACAAATAGATTATGCTTCGTCATTTTCTTTCAACTCAGTTCAGTTTCATACGTGCATCCTTGCAGCAAGAAGAAGATAATTCTTTTGTTTTCTGGTTAAAGGTTACTTTGGTGGTGTGTTTGTCATCTATACCTGTAATATGTTCTGCGTTCTTAGAATCTTCCTTTGTAACGCAGTTTTGATTATGATATTTATCGCGTTAATATATTCCCTAAAGGCGGAGCTGTTAAATTCGTCCGGCGATATGCTCTTGCTTTTGCTATTAAGCATTATTCGGAACTTTTTTCTCTGACACAGTGCTGACCTTGGCAAAACGGAAGGTCTCGTTCAGTAGGAATGGCGTAGTTCAAGATATCTCTCTAGATGCGTTGTTATTTTGGAGTAAGCAGATGAAACTGTCTTGGCGAGTAGTACAGGAAATGAGCTCTGTCACCTGATTACTTCCACATGTTACACAGTTATGACAAAAATTACGAGGAACCTATCCAATACAGCTTATCTACAAGTAAAAAAAAATGAGATGAAGCGTGCCAACAGGTTGGCCAGTTTAAATATCTCGGCTTCATCGTCTCCAGTGATAGCCCTTTTCAGCCAGGGTTAAACAGCAAGTCGCCATAGCCTCGACTGCTTTTGTAAGCCTGTCGAATATTTGGGATGAGAGGATGAGTTATTCTTTCCACGTACCCTCCGGAAATAATTTGCCTGTTTCAAGTTATTGTACCGCATGGAGACATTTGTTTTGACGAAGGAACGAGAACGACAGCTGAATTGCATCTAACAACGTTGGCTTCGACACATGGAAAGAGTTAAATGATAGGACCATGTAGGGAATGACTATATTCTCTAGTAGACACGTGAGATCAGTAAATGATTAGATTAAGGAAATGAGGTTGGTCTTGTTAGACAAACTAGTTGAGTATACACCATTTGCTCTTGGCTATCAAGTACCAGTTTGTCAGGCAAAATATTTCGGACGTCGACCAGAAGGACAGCATGTAATTTAGAGGAGCAAGGCAGAGGTAAATATGCTTTCGAAGACGTATTTCCTTCGGCGATACAGAACCGTGTGCCTTGTAGAAAATGTGTTGAAAAGCGAATATGCGAACGTCACAAACCAGATATGTTGTGCATATGCAAACAGCTCAAGGTGGCCTTCTCAACAAACAACAACAACTGAAGGCGGAACACTTATTTGCTAAGGTGTTTTAGAAAATTTGGTGCTGTTGCTGTTACCATGCTGTGTCAAGCCGTAAAATGTTTCCATCGTTTGTAAGAGCTATAATCCATTAATGAGTTTGCTATCTTTGAATTACCTACTAATTTTTTGACTTCAGTAGTATCGGTACTGATTGAATATTCGAAGCGTTGTTAGTTTTAGGGTCTGTCTACTTTAACCAAAACGCCTTTCAGTTCCCTCAGATCGTTCAGGTAGCGATGATTGAAACAAACTGTTTTTTCCAGTACTTCTGTTATGTAGACCTGTGCTACTCTCAGGATCTTCGAGAATGCATTTCCAAGTTCCGATTACAGATGTACGGTAAAGGTCATTCTTTGCAAATAATGTGACATGTTGAGGTAGAATGGCCGACAACCGTGATAAGTGTCGTACATGTCTCTTTA